GCGCCTCTATTATTTATTTCTTAAAGCGACGTATTTCATTATCACAAGGTGTACCAGTGCAAGGGGTAGCAGGGGCGTACAGAGCGAGAGACTGAGAGAGGCAGAGAGAGACACAGAGAAAGGTGGGGGGTGATCAATAATTTATAGGGCTGATTTGCAGAAGAGCTTGTCACTAGTTGTTGTCAGAACGTATTTGCTTTGATGCGAGATTTGAAGACGCCAACAACAGCGTCACATCTGATTACAAATTTAGCAGAAGGTGATAAAGGGCGCGCTTTTTGTCAGGTGTGGGTAAATAGTGGTTTGAAAGGAACATGGATCATGGGGAGGATGGCAAGTTTTACTTCTACTACTCCTACTACTACTACTACTACACTCTAAGAAAGAATGTGTTGTTTTCTTACACATTTAATGTGTACAAAGACAAGAAACACGTATGTCAATTTCTGCTAATAATTTTTTGCATGATTTAACTTAAAATATGTCACAAAATCACAATTTTTTTTTCAATCGGCCAGGCCAAGTTGGTCCAATGACATTTCAACATCTCACAAGCATCAGCGGTACAGCAGGAAAAGTCTCTGATCACACAGTTGAAAGTAATAAATGGACAGATAAGTGGATGCTTTTCTGTGTTTATGCTTCAATTATAGACAAAAGTGGTTAAAAGGTGCTCAAAAAGCTATAAATTAGACTTCATCCAACCTCTCACTAGTTGACACACCAAGTGAAGTACTGCTACTACTTTTCTGTGCTACTCTTTAGCAGTGGTTCTCAAATTGGAGGTCAAAATGATTCCAATCGGTTCTCTGATAATATGGGGCAAAGTTCAAAATGTATGTAAGTTAGGGTCTTGGCACAAAGTTAAAGGTACATTGTGTAACTTCTCTGGTGGAGAGCCCATCAAATGCTTTTCTCCATGGAAATGTTATTGCTTTGTCAAAAATGATTCACAGTATAGCATTAAACCTTTCTGTCTTCATGGAGACCAAACCAGACCAAGTTGCAGGTCAGATCTGTGGAGATGCAAACCCACTCACAGTCAGAGTGCCTGTTTTTCTCTGTATTTTTGAGCTATAAAACCACCTGTAATTGAATAAATGTAAGGTAGTTCTGTTAAATGTCATACTGTGGAACATTCCAGGCAGAGTAATGACATCCACAAAAACAAGCTGGCGATGGACCCTCCACCATGCATCCTTAACACTGTACAAATGCAGTGGTATGTCGTGGAGACTGAAAAAATACTTTGTACTTAAGATGTGAGTTGTGATTCTAAGTACTGTTGTCGTAAAATGTTAAACTTGATTTTGATAATAAGGAACAGACTTGATACTCAATACTAATTTCAAAAACACAATGGAAATTTTTAAGAAACTCTTTCTTTAGACAATAAAATGTGAGTTTCAACATTAACTCATAGTACTTTTGCAGTCTTATATGTGTGAAATCCCTCAGTAGTCTGTGATTTTATACTTGTACTGATACAGCTCAAGATCATTCTAAAGCTAGTCAGGAAAGGTTCATTTCTGTCCTGTAAATGTTAGTATCAATACCTGCTCAAATGAGTATCTATAGTACTGATTAATATCTGATTTTCAACCCTACTTCTTATTACTGCTATGATCTAAATTAGGTCACCTGCAAATGATACACAGTCAAAAAATATTAACTTGGAGTCTTAAGCAGAAAATCTGATGTAAAATAAATAAATGAATGGAAAAAAGAAACTTCTAAGTGTGACTAACTTGTGTTTTTGAATAAAAAATCTCCACTGGTGCACTCATCCCTAGCTGCTGTCATTCACTTTCATTATAAATTTGAAATAGACAATCACAAAATCACGTCTAATTACAAATTGAGTAAAAAGTGAAACAAGCGCTCCCCTTGTTTTTCCTGTTTGTGGAGGGCTCTGGTGCAGGGAGGTACAGTGAGCTAAAACACAGATGAGAGGCAGAGAGGCTGAACTTTTTGTCATGTGTCAGTAAACAGGGGCTTAAAAGGCACCTGGATTTATTAGGAGGAGGAGGGGGAGTGGAGTCTTGAAAAGCAGAGCCGCGTTTGGGAGCAGGGGAGGCACGCCACGTCAAAACAGTGAGACGAGATCAACGTGAAAGCATCATTCACAGGAGCAGAGAGAGTCAGAGGAAACAAGAGCGGACCTGCTGTCACTCTGGGTCATGTGCACTGCAGAATCTCAAATAGTTTTAGTCAAACTGAGAATAGGCATCAAGCCAAACTCGCAAAATGACAAGTGGCAAAAAATAATAAGAGTTCACCACGCCAAGCCAATCATTAGGCTTCACAAAACAACTATAATTTACAGTATTTTTACACTTTAACTGGCTCAAATATTTATTTTTTAGAAGAAATATTATTGTGTTTATTCAGGAAAGGTCCAACATTGTTCAATACATGCTCAGATATGTATCTAAAATTGATATTATTTTTAGTATAGTATTGATTTACGTTTTGATTTTCTTGGACTCTTGATAATGAAACTACACCAAGGAATGATTCAAGGACTTCAACCATCAACCCTATGGTTATAGGGTGGCCGGTTTCCTTCTGAGTCACTTTCCTTATCATCTAGTTGGAAAAACACAGTTGTGCTTTAATGTAATATTTCAATTGTGTTTCACTTTCATTTACAATTTAATCTCAGATAATGTTACTGGCAAAAAAAAGCCAAAAAAAAAAAAAAAAAATAGCTGAAACTTCTTGCTTTTTCAGTTCTTAGCCATCCTTCGTTAGCCTATAAGTGTTTTTAATTACATACACTGCATTACATCCACAGACTCAGGCTTTACAACAAACTTTCAACTCAGTTCTGATGGCGTCGGTCGGGGACAGTTAAACATAAAAATCAGCGCTGCCACAGAGCACATAAACAAGTGTGCATAATTGACAGCCACATCTATTTGCACAGTCCAGTCTCCCCCTCCTCCCCTCCTCCTACCACTACTATGTTCTTCCAATACCATTTCCTCTTTTAATTATCCTTCGGCAAAGAAAGATGGCGGACATCAGAGGCATGGCGGTAAATCCCAGGCCTGGCAGCGGCTCATAGCGGCTGCATGCGTCTGGTGGTCCCGATAGAGGCGAGTGTGCGAGGACTGGCAAAGACTAGAGCCGCTACAACGCCGGGAGATTTTCTGACAGAGAAAGGAGAGGATGATCGCTCAGCATAAAGCCCGCTCCTCATTCCCATTCCCATTTTTCTTGTTGTTTTGGTGTTTTTTTTCTTTTTGCCGATTATGCCGTGTTTTCAGCACCAGATTAGGCGGTTCTCAGGAGCAGACTCATCACCTCCCAAACAGCACCTCTTGTTGTAATGGTTGTAGAGTGAAAAGAGCATATTCCAGATGCTTCACTATCTTGACTAACAAAGCTGCAAGGCCACAAACAATCAGAAAAGGGCAGAAGGAAGTCTGAGCATAAGACTACTTCAAAGTTGGAGTAAAGTATTTTAAAATGCAGTATAATAATGCTGCTGCTACTAGTCTCACATACATTCACTTTTTAGAAATGCAATAATTTCTACCAGTATTTGCCATGAGGTGCCCATTGCTCCTGACAGGTTGTGCCAGCGGCATTTAAGGATATGTCAAATACATGTGTACCCTTCCTTTACAGGGTGTCCAAACTTTTTTGTCAAGGGCCACATATCTACAGAGGCTGACGGGGGCCAAATGCACTGAAATGGCCCAATGCTTCTCAGTTAGAGTAAACTGTTTCAAGTTCAGATGCAAATTCACAAACTCAAACACAAGTTTAAACACGGTACAAACAAAGAACATGGCGCAAATGGAAAAAATGTGCTGCAAAAAACAAAGGCAAATGTATCATCATCAAATGCGCTTCAGATAGAGAAACGATGCAAAGCACAAAATGATAAAAAAACAAGAAAACACCTGCAAAAAAAAAAAAAAAAAAAAAAAAAAAAACCTGCATAAAGAATCACCACAGCGGAAGTGCTCCAAACCTGCACCTGTCCCATTTCGGTCTGCGGACACGGCTACCGAGAGTGCCTCCTGCAGATTTGGAGGTTTGCAGTGTGTTTGGCCCCCGTCAGCCACCGTACATATCAAAACACAGATGATGCAGAGGGCCGATCAAGGGCCTAAAAACTGGTGGTCAATACAGTGAATAATTCAAAAATGTGCTTTTAATACAACTTAGAATGAGTCACCAGAGCTTTATTCAGGTCTACATCCTCACCAGTGCACACTAAATATTTAATATCAGCTTTATCAAGGTAGATTTTCCAAAACAAAAGTCAAGATAAATTGCTCTGAGGGCCATATTTGCACCCTGAGCCATAGTTTGGACATGCCTGCTTTAGAGCCTTTGTCAGTTCAACAATTACAACTAAAGCGGTGGGCAATATCAACCAAAAAGTTCCAGTATGTGCGTTCACTTGTGAAATTACTGTAAAATTTTCCACCCATGCAGAAATACACATTTATACCCTCATTTGGAAGTTTACAACATCAGCTCTTTTGCTCATTAACAATATACTTGATTTTCAAATTTTGCACATCTTCACAACATTCAAGATAATCACTTCTACTTGTAGCACAGTACTTCTGCCTCCACAACTACTGCTGCTACTACTAGAACTAATACCACAACTACATTCAGTTACTGGTCTACACTCACCTCCTTAACAGCCACATTTCACTGCCAGTTCTGCTACGGCTGCTACTACTTTTACTATGACTTTTCATACATAAATTTATTTTTTGACAGTGAGAAGCGAGAATAAGTTCACCTTTACTACTGCTGCAAGATTACACTGTTTGAGATCTAGGTGATATACATTTTCAATACCTATTAACAGTCAATGCTATTTCAACTTCTGATGATAGAATTATTTTATCCATGTTACCATATTTTAGCTAACCCATGCTGTATTATGATCATAAGACACTGTCCATTTCTATATTTCTCTCTATGATGCCACATTAGTCACTTGGATCCCCACACAGAAGTCAAACATGGGCCTTCTCCTGCACGATTACCCCAACTGCACCATCACATCCTCGGACACAATGGAGCTACACAGCCCCCCTCCACGCTCTCTCCTTATCCTTTCTTCTATCAGTGTGAGATAGAGATGGGAATGCTCCACAGCGGGGCTTTCTTCTCCTCCGGGGGGAACCCAGGAAGCAGGCGAGAGTCTCTGTAATGTTCCGTTCCCTTCAGGGTGGGGAGAATACGTGGTGGAGAGGAGCTAAAGATGCTCATTGGAGAAGATGGGTGAAGTTAACACATGTAGAAAATGGAGGTCTAAGTCTAAGAAATTTGACATGAAAAAATGAAAATGAAATCAGAGCTGAAAGGTCAAATAGATTTAACATTTTCGGGGTTTTTTTCCATTATCACTACTTTGCCATAACCCTTCACCTTCAAACTATGTTATAAATTCTCAGAAAACATGTGGTCTAGTGAGTTTTACAACACAATACAACACACCCTTCACCTCAGATGTGACTATTACCTGGGCTCGAGGTCTGGATCAAATCAGGCAAATGTCAAGTTTGAACTGATAATAAACACATGGTATACTATGGATAAATTAAAAGGTCCATTATGTAACTTGTGAGATGTTATGTGTTGCCTAAAATGTTTCACAGTATGGCATTAAACTTATCTGTCTCCATGAAGACCAGTAGGTGACGAAATTTCCAAGTCAGATCTTTAGAGTTCACAATAATATATTTTTCAAAGTATGTTTGAGCAATAAACTCACCCAAATGAAATTGTAGATTGTTTATGTCATACTGTGGAAAATTCCTGGCAAAACATCATTAACTCCATGGAGACAGGCAGGTGGGATACCGTCCACCATAAAACTTCATAGTGTTCCTTTAATGTCCATAACAAAACTCAAAGCACACCAAAATAAAACAGGAAAGGAATAAAAAAACAAACTTAATCAGAAAATCAAGATCAATTTGTCAAGTTTTTGTCTAAAATGTACTTATTCTGCCAATAATACTCTGGTGTAGCAATACTGTAAATGCTACACCAGAGGATTGGATCAGTACTTGGCCAAATCACATTACACTGCAAAAGCCACTCATGCACCAACAATAAAGATTAAACGTTACCATTAAAAACAATAAAAAGTGACACATTTATAAATAAATATCTTTTAAACAGTTGTTCCTTACATGTTCTGATTAAAAACATCTTGGAGTCTAAATTTTTTGCACCCGAAAGTGGCAAAACAACAAAACCTCTCAGCTGATAATCTTCCACAATTACAAGATGCAGAGTGATGAAAGGATATCAATGATCTACTTATGTCATAGAAAAAACATGGCGGCTTCAAAGAACTATTGAAGTTTTGAGTCAATAAATGATCAAACATATGGAATCTTATCAACGCTTTTCCTTAATGCAAAAACACAACTATGTATGGTGGTTACATTATGTTTTAACAATGAAATAAAGGGGCTATTGTGCTTTTCTGAAAACATGTAAGGGGAGGTGAAAAAGCAAACAAAAGTGTTGAGAGGGCATCCTGATGAAAAGACTCAAAAGATGACCTTTCTGGCATCAGCTGGCTCCAGGAAAAACAATTCACGACCCTAACCTATTCTGGCCTTTCACCATAATGTTAGTGCTGTGGGCTACACCTCCAAAGAGTCCAGGCAGGTCTATGACTTTACAGACAGACAAAACGCATGCCCCAGATCCTCGCTTTCATATCTATCAAATACACAAACACAAAAGTGCAAACAAGCTGGCCCCGTCTGGCATCATAGCAACAACTTCGGGCTATGGAAGCTAAAAAGAGACACGCTATCAGTGTAGATTACATCAATGTCCACAATATCAAGTCCAATTAGAAGCATGGCAGTTAGCAAATGCACTAACTTTTCCAAAACATGAAATAGTCCAGTATGACAGTTCAAAAAAAAAAAAAAAAAAATGAAATGTACACTTTTAAAAAATGCTTTGTTGACGGGGGGCCGCATCTCCAAAGGGCTTTTGTGTGGTGTTTGAAAAGGAGGCATAACAAGGTCGAAGGTCATTCAAACACAAAATAGCACATTCATGGAGTTCATTTCATTTCTATAGGTAAACACTAGCAGATAGGAGAAAGGTAGAAAGTGGCAGTTTGTGACGTGCTGCAGAGGCCTCGTGGTCAGGGAGATGGTATAAAAAGGGTAGCAAGGCTTTTGGAGCTTTGGTGTCGCTAGATTCACAACCCTGCAACCATGGGAAAGGTATGGACGAAATATTGGACAAAGTTAGAATGGTGTTTTTGAATTGTACGTCAGGCAGATGGAAGCACAGAGGCAGGGAAGTACTTGAAGTGACAGATTAAAAGCTTGTTTTAGGTGACAATCTCTCAGCAAGATTTGAAATTTCTCTATACCATTTGGCATGGACAAGTGTGACAGCAATTGTGTTAAATTTGAAGGGCCAAAACAACACGATGTTCTTTAAATTAAATCTTGCTTTTCAACTGTCAAGCACCCTAACACTTCACAGAATGGCAGCGAGGGGAAGCTGTGATGTTTAAGCTTGAGTGCAGTGTCCCCTACTGGCCAATGAGAAGAACTGTAACTTGAACTGACATGTTTTATTTGTGTTCTTATTCAAGATTATTTTCTACGAAGGCCGTAACTTCCAGGGTCGTCACTGGGAGTGCGGTAATGACTGCATGGACACTTTCAGGCACTTCAACTGCTGTAACTCCATCAGGGTGAGCGGAGGACACTGGGTGGCCTATGAGAAGCCCAACTATATGGGATACCAGTACATCATGGGGCCCGGAGAGTACCCCGACTACCACTGCTGGATGGGCTTCAACAACTGCATCCGCTCCTGCCAGATGTTCCCTCCTGTAAGTCGGTCAACTTTGGGTAGACACAAGTTTGGAAAAGTTCACGTCAAATGGTGGAAGTATTAGACATTCAGATTGACATAAAAATACATGTGCAGTTACAGTCAATGTCAATGTCAGTGTCAACGTCCACAACACGATGGAGGCAGAGGATGGTGATATGCCCCAAAGGAAAAGGTTGGCCAGGGTAGGGTTAGTGACATGGTTTTGTTTTAGTTTTTATTTTAAAATGTCCAACTAAAGAATAGAAAGTTAAAAATGTAATATTTCCTATAATTTAAAATACTAGAACAAAAACATGACATGTGATAAGAAGATTACATATGGTAAATTGCTCAATGTTTGACTCTAATTTCTTTCTTACATTCCTCTATCTTCAACATGTGACCCCACTTGTACTAGTAAAAAAAGAAGTGTATGTAATGCGTGATTCCTTTTTCCCATTACAGTACAGAGGCTCCTACAGAATGAGGATCTACAACAGGCCTGACATGATGGGACAGAGTATGGAGTTCATGGACGACTGCCCCAATGTGTACGATCGTTTCCGCTTCAGGGACATCTACTCCTGCAATATCATGGAGGGCTACTGGATTTTCTACGAGCACCCCAACTACAGGGGGCGCCAGTACTTCCTGAGGCCCGGAGAGTACAGGGCCTGTGGGGACTGGGGCTGCCACAATCCCATGGTGGGCTCCTTCAGGAGGATGAGGACTATGTAAAATGTGAATGTATAAATCATTATTAAACTACTTTTAAAATAAATCATGGGTCACTTTTTGTTTTTGTGTATGGAATTATTCTTTGATTTGAAATTTGAGAAGTACAGTTTATATGATTTATTATAATGAATTGCATACATTAACAGATTTGTGATAATCTATGAAAAATGTCTATATTTGGGGATATAGAATTGTATATTTCTTTTAACCCAGGCTTAGATTCACCTGAACACAAAGCTGAAACAGACATTTCTACTCAGAGTCTTTGGCATTGATCGCAGTAAAGGCATATGTGGCACTCTTTTTGTCACCTGGTTCAGAAAGTGCAGCCGTACAGTCTTTTCTATAGACAGACAAAGACAAAGCTTTAGACTGTCCTATAGTGTGTGGCTGTGGCCTCTATAGACCACAGTGTGCTGACTCCACAAAGCTTTGCAAAAGGCCCTGATCCCAGCAGGCTCTATAAAGACACCGGGTTCAAACGGGACGGTTCTGGTCTGCTCCACACTGTTCAACTCTTACAATGGGCAAGGTAAGAAACACATTTGGACCTTTTATCTGGGCTATAGCAAGATAACATTAGGAGAAAGAGACTATCAAGAAGAGATCAAATAAATTATGAAAAGCAATTACTTGATGTTACTGTAGGGCTGGATATTTTATATTGGTTAAACTTTAATTCAAAATTTCACACAGCGTATAGCTCATAGCAAAGACTTTTATTATTTTGGATAGAACAGAAATATGCTGAATTATACATTCTGAAATTGTAATATTTTGCTAGTATGCATTTATGGTCTATACATATATTTATCACTCAGTATGTCAATATTTAATACAAATCTAATCTAAATTAACACTTAAACTCATGTACTTTTCAGAATTTATTTTCATACTCACATTTTTCAATACTTGTTGCATCTATTTCAGAATTTTCAAATATTTGCCTCATTTGTCATTTTCTTTATGTGTTTTTGCTTTGTATAAAAGGATACTCTCAGATTGCCTGATAATTCATTTGATTAGTAAATTAAAATAAAACTACAGTATTATGTGTACTATGGCCTTCTTCCAGATTGTGTTTTACGAGGACAAGAACTTCCAGGGCCGTCACTATGAGTGCACCAGTGACTGTCCCGAGATGCACGGACACTTCAGCCGCTGTAACTCCATCAGGGTGGACAGCGGCTGCTGGGTGGCCTACGAGAAGTCCAACTACTCTGGGTACCAGTACATGCTGCACAAGGGGGAGTACCCCGAGTACCAGCGCTGGGCTGGCTTCAACGACTGCATCCGCTCCTGCCGCATGGTGCCTCCAGTAAGTCATTCAGAACTCAAGTGGGGTTCATAGATTTAAAAATAGATAGTTTAACAATGTCTTCCATATCCATTGTGTATTAAACTTTTCTCCATCAGGCTTATCACTTTTTCTCATGCCAGCTGTATTTATATTCAGTATCAGGTTTATACTTCTAATACTGATATATTTTGATGTTCATTTGCTCTAAATGACTTAAGGTGTTGGTCTTAAAGTAAAACTGGTAACTTTTGGTGTTGACCATTAAAGGAAAAGCGTGCCTTTATTTGAATGAGTAGTGTTGGATGGCAGACGGTGTAATAGGCTTAACAGATTTTCTTACACATCCTAGACTACATTTTTAGCGAGCTTCAACTACGACCCTATTTTCTACAGTAGGAGTGTCCAGAGTATGGACTGGGAGCCAAATGCAGCCCTCAGAACTATTTTTGTAGTCAATAAGGCTTCCTGCTGAACTGGCCGAAATGATCATAGGCAGTAGACAACAATTTACTGCAATTTTAAGCAATTCAACAATCATAACCTCAATAACAAACATTGCACTTTGAGCCAGACAAGAAATGTATGTTCTAGTCTTATTAAAGGAGCAGTGGTTCTGTCAAAGTTATGTTCAAAGTGCCCATCTGAATGATTTTCTGCATTGCCTTTAGTGACTGCCCCTGCGCTACGTCCCTGTCTACAAACCCATTTTGATATTCAACTCTGTAAAATAAACTTAGCCTTGTGCCAAATATTTTTGCAGTACAACGGGAACTATAGGATGAAGATCTTTGAGCGCTCTGACTTCGGTGGCCAGAACATGGAGCTAAGTGAGGACTGTCCCAACCTTCACGAGCGCTTCAACACCCGGGACATCTCCTCAGTCAACGTGATGGAGGGCTACTGGATGCTGCATGAGCATCCCAACTACAGGGGGCGCCAGTTCTTCCTGCGTCCTGGCGAGTACAGGAGGCACAGCGAGTGGGGCAGTGCCACTCCCACCATCGGGTCTCTTAGAAGGGTCACTGAAGCTAACTGATGCGAATGGTTTTTACATAGACCATATACATTTTAACCCTTTTGTTTACATGTGGTAGTGTCCAATTATGGATATTTAGTGATTGGGTTTTATACAAAGTCCTACATCAACGAAATAAAATATGGTGGATAAGTGGATAAACTGCAGTAGTTCAATAAAAAAGAGTGGAAAATCATTTGGTTTGTTTATTTTAATTGTGATGATGATAATATGATGATAAAGACCTTGAGGATGGTGTTTAAATTTGTCCTTGGGCAAGACACATTTTAGTCACAATATTGTGCATTATTCCTTTGCTCCCTACTTAATGGCGGTAAGCTAAAATTATTGATACTTTGCAACTGAACCCATCAACATTTCCTGGGAATGTGATGCTAACTGAAGTCACTGCTCTGTCTGAAGCGTTGTTACTCAAGTTAACAAGTTAAATATATATATTTTTTTTAACATAATCCACCAAGAAACTTAATTGAAACTACAACAGATGAGCAGATTTTGTACATTACAGTTACAAACTAGCTAACATTATCCAACAGTTTCTCAGTTTCTCATACTCACCATTTTTGTTTAAAATCAAACTCCTAAACAGGACCATGAACACTCATACTGATCACAGGCTCCTGAAAATGTGCTGCTTAAATCCATTTTGTTATTTTCAGACTTAACTCAACACTTTTTTGACAGTGTTTGCTAATGTGTGCATTGGGTCACCTTGGTAACTCCTAAACATTCTACCATAGAGATACATGTAGAACACCCCCAGCATGATGTCACGGCAAAGTATCAATAGCAACAGCTGCCCTGAGTTGGACTGATGGAAGCAAGGATGCAAATCTGCCGTCCTCTGATCCCTCACGTACACATTACATTCAAACTATGAGCAATATGGGTCTTGCCCAAGGACGCAATGGCAGTTTACAATAAAACCACTACTCCCCCACTGCGGCAACTGGTAATCCCTGCGGTCTTCCATTCTAGTACTAACCAGGCACAACTAAGGTTAGACGAGATTAGGCATTGACAAGATGGTATGGAGATATGTCATTCTATCTGTGGCTGATGGCAACAAGAAGGCCATCAGGTGTAATTGTGCCAAAATTTCAAATATAAATGCTGTTAATGTACAATAATATGCAAAATATGTAATGTTATAAATAACTGATATAGATTTCAATTTGAACTTTGTTAAAACATTTTCCACCATTTTGATAAACATGAGAGTGGACTTTTTGACCAAGGTGGTATCTCCATAAATATTGAACTGATCCTTTTAATTTTCTTTCATTCGTTCCAAAGCAGAATGGTTTCAGGTCTCTAACCTCCTGTCCTACTAAAATCATAATAAAAGTGATAAAAGCAGGGCCTATGTTAATTTAATTTTAACTCGGTGTTAAACTGTCACTATCAAGCAATCAAGGGAGAGGCTTTCAAAATGAGGAGGTTTTTCCGGGCATTGTAGTTTGGGCATTTGAACTTTTGTACCAGCGGAGTTACGTTCAGTGGCACAAAGGCGCACCAAACAAGACAAGAATTTCCGTACACTTTATAGTCCAGATACACTAAGGGAAATTATCAAGAACACTGGCGTATTCTTTGAAGCGCCATATTAAAGTGCGAAAGAGGGTATCTAAGGATGCCATGTACGAGTCTTTATGCCCATGTTAGATGCACATCACAGAGCTAGTGGCAGCTCAAAGGGTTCCAGTCAAAGTGGTCTGGTTCGCCCCAAGCATCGCACTCTCTCAGAACAAAAAACAAAAAAAATCTGATCCCTGGTCATGCATAATTCATCCAGCCCAAGATACCGCAGCCCTTTCAGAAATAAATATCAATTATTGAACTTGTTAATTAGAGATCGCGTAATTGGCAAAGATCTACATGAATAAATAACCCGCTATTATTAATTATTGATTGTGAAAAATTTGAAGCCCAGTAGGGAGTAAGATAGAGTCTCTTAAGATGAAAAGTGGAGAAAGATATGTGTTTTTAGCCTTGAGTAATGTCCAATTAAAGGCTGTCAGAGCAGAGATTCGCCCTTGTCATGGTTTTTATATTACAACAATACCTTGAAGACAACAGCATGCAAGAGTGGCATCATGGGCTAGGACAATCTTAACTGTGAGAGCCAGAAGAAACATGCTAACTGCCTGGCCACAGCTATAAATTCATCTAAATAAGTTTATTTTTCAATACTTGAAAACAACGTGTCATCCAACCTGGCTTCATTCTGCAATGACACAAAGAGCTGATCCACTACCATTCAGAAGTCTGAACAACTCACCAGCGGTACATTAAGAAATGAATAGTACTGCAACTGTTGATGCGCACATCTGCTGAAATTGCAGAGATTAAGATACAGAGTTTTAAAGTCCAATATTACAAAAATAAATTTACTCTTTTAACCATCTTTTATTGTTGTTACCTCCTCAAAAACATACCTGGAGTTGTGTTTTATTTCATTTAAACATATTTGAGGAATCCTGGATTATGTCTATCTACATCTCCAAACATCAAAATGCTCTGTTCCACCTTGTGATGTCATGAAGCAGCTGTTTTCAAGTTAACAACAACCTCTTACTTTTAGTTCAGTAGAAGTTGACTATTCCAGAGCTGAAATTATCCGAAGTGGTGTATGATGTATGATGTGGTGTATGATGTTTAAATACATAGTGGGGCACCTCCTGTATTATCACATGGCACCCCAAGGTTGAACAGAGTGTTTTCCGTTTGATGGAAGAATTCAGCCTAAATATGCAGGGTTTGTGTGTTGAACACGTGTGAATGAAACAAAACACAACTCCAGGCCTGTTTGTAATGAGAAAAAACATAATAATCTACATGAGAAAATAGTGTAATATGGACACTTTAAGGCATAAAAATTTGAGTCCTGGATACTGGATACATACAGCAAATCTTATTCAATAGCTAAAGAACTGGAAACAGCTATAATTCAATAAATGTGACATAGATAGGCTAAATGCCATACTGAGTAACATCCCAGTCAAAACATGGAGACAAGCAAGTGGTACATAGCTATAAGTTATGATCACTAAAGTTTACCGCCATAAAACTCTGCATCGCAAATAACATCAAACTTTCAAAAACCTTCACAAGAAAATCTTATAACCATAAACATTTTACAAACTACACTGCACCTTTAAACTGGGTCCACTGAGACATTTTAAAATAAATGCTCTTTCAAAGTAAAACACAGTTGCACCTGAATCGCTGGTTTGTGATCCTGCCGTTTTAAGCATCAAACAGTCATGTCCCGAAAATGTTCCTTTGCTACCTCAAGCCATTTAACTGTGTGCTTCCGCCGTCATTCTCACATGAAAAGGACCAAAGAGTATGATCTGTGTTTGAACCCTTCGGACCAGCTGATTCAAGAGTAAGTTTGTACAGATGTCAAGTCGGGACTTTAGAGGTTTCCAAGATCTAGCTAAAGAACGCTCCGTCTACACCAGCCTGTGATTCCATTATTAGTGTGCAATCTGAATTTCCCTTTCATTTGTGATGGCTGGATAATTAAACCTCTATAGTATTGTCTTCCAGCTCGCATGCCCCACTTCCAGCAAACGCAAAATTCCCCCTGGGTAACAGTAAAAAAAGACAATTTTTATACGTCTGGTTTTCAGATCATGACAACTTTTTCTTGCTAATTTGTGTTTCTTTGTGGAAGTAGAAAGTCTCAGGAAAAAAGGATGAATTTAACTGAGAAATATCTGAAAAATCAAAGCAAGTTTACATACATTTCTTTTCAAACGCTTTTATTGAGCAATGGTGGTTTTAAACAAGCTGAACACAAGTGCATCAGATAGACAGACTGGCACAGAGTTCATTTAAAAGCAGTTGTGTTGTAGCCCCGAGCTCAAAGGAGGCAGCTTGTCAATTACACTTTGGCTCTGACACAAGCTCTGGGCGCCACAAGGAACAAGGAGATGAGAATAACAATAAATGGGAGTGCGTTCAGATATTTTTCTCAAAAAGTATTAAATTATTGAATGCACATTTCAATTATAAATTATAGGAAATTCCATAGATGACAAAAACTGAAAAAGCATTTATCATATAGGCCAAGGCAAAACACAGTAACAATTTAACCTTTACAAAACTGAGAATGTTAGAAAAACAAAGAGGCTAAAATAAAGTAAACAGAAGAAGCTGAAGCAAGATAAAGCAAACTACTTATTTTAATAAAAATCCATAGTTTTAATACCATCTTTAGTGGTAAGAAATTATTTAAAATTGTCTCCAAAATCTGTTTCCACCACTGTGCAATTTCAATGTAAACATTTCCTTGCTCATTATTGATATTATTTAAATATATTGCTGATTAAACTCAAAATCATGAGGTAGAATCTAACTTGTATGCAAACTCTAGAACAGTAAGAACTTGTTTTGATAATGTTCCACCTACATGTGGTCCTGTGTTGTGCCTAGGCTGTTCTTAACAGTTCTTTTAACAAGCCCCACTGGACCCTTCGCTTTAGCTGTAAACCTTTACAATCCCTGTCCACTGAAAGTCCACTGTATGTTTAGTTGCTGTCCCTATGACTGGCCAGCGGGAGGCTGACGGGCAGGTTTTCATGAAGGTATTTCATGGTGCCCTGTTCAGAGAAGTCTGCGGCTGTGTGCCCCTCCCCCCTCAGCACCCACTTAGTGGTGAGCAGCCCCTCCAGCCCCACAGGGCCCCGGGCGTGGATACGGGCCGTGCTGATGCCCACCTCAGCTCCTGCATAAACACAGTGAGAGACAATTTCAAAATACTTTTACATGTTTAAAAGACAAATGTGACAGAAATGATGTAACAAACCCAGTCCAAAGCGATAACCATCAGCAAATCTGGAACTGGCGTTCCAGAAAACACAAGCACTGTCAACTTGCTGCAGAAACTGCTCTGCTGTGTCCTCTGAAAAATTAAAAACATCTTACATTAAAAATAAATAATACAAAAAATAAATTTAAATAAATAAACAATCAAACATCATACCCACAAA